TTTTCTCTTGTCCTCCTCTCTGTCGTCTACTCCCTCTCCTTGTGTACTACTAGTAAACGCATATGAATGAGCGCCGTTGAGAGAACAGACAAAATATAATTACCCTTTTACTCTGCCTCCTTTTATAACGTGCAAGTGGGCCGTAAAGGCACACGGGGATATGGGCAGCTGGCGCTCAACCATCATCAACATGGCCAGCCTTGTACGTGATAGGCACAGTAAGAGGGTAACTGCAAAAACAAAGAACATGGGAGGCCTCCCAACGCTGGCTGATGAAAAAATAATCGAAGAAAACGATGTAACATACTAACAAATGTACTGTGTCTCGTATTCTTTTTGCTGTTGGGATGGCCCATCTCGAGTGTGTTGCATTGTTTGTGTAAAGGTGAGATTCCTTGTCTGATTAAAGGTAAGGTTCTGAATAGATATTGACTTCACAAGCAAAACTGTCTCATTGGTGGATTGGCTCATCTCGAGCATGCTTCATTGTCTGCAATATAGGTAAAGTTGCTATGACTTTGGATCTACTCATCTGGGCGRAATAGAGGAAGTTGTGGTGATAATTTGTAACACACACACACACACACACACACACACACACACACACACACACACACACACACACACACACACACACACACACACACGCATGTACACATGCACATACGCACGTGCTCACTGGCTCGCTCCTGCACACATACACACACTGCAGCCTGCTCCACAAAATCATATGCCACGCATGGGTCCAAATATTTGTGCATACATCCTACATTGTCCAGGTCATTTCAGGGCTGTTACCTTCGCGGGTAATTCAAGGACCCTACGGGACAATGGCGACAGGGTGCACACGGCGGGAAATATTAACTCTTTCTATCACCAAGCAGTAGAACATCACGCACTGCGACTCGTCAACCAGGAACAGTATGTCGGTGTGCACTCGCAAGCTCTACAGCTCCCAGAGAGCAATCCCGCTGAACCCCCTCCTTCCCCTGTGCATGGCAAGGCATATCCCCTCCTTTCCGTAGATCGGATGGATCCTACCACAGACAGTGAAGGGGCCTCTTCAGAGGACGCTGGCTGTGCCATCCCATGCCGTCAGCATGCACACAGCATAGTCTCTGCTCTGAACACTATCAACTAGTATCAAGGGATGGTCACTGCCAGCCTCTGTCGCGAAAACTGCGACCCTTTGTCTGTACACATCCCTTCATTCCCCTATTCACTTGCACAGCATGCCATCTTGGCCTTAACATGCCATCCCTCAATATCTGTGAACGTCAGCCTGCTTTCCTGCTGACATGTCAGCAACATGCCATGTGTCGCCAATGCGTCCAGGAATCTGTCATAGAGAGTATGTGTCTCTGCTTTGTTGACTACACCCACTGGCCTCATCCACCACATCCTCTCCTAGCATGTCCCACATGCAGAGTTGGGCATACACCTGCTGCAATCAAATCACATTTACTTCATCCTCAGCAGATAAATGACAGACGTAGCAGCCTGAGTGGGAAAAAAGACTACCATATGAGCCACCTACAGAGCGCTGCACCACCAGGGGAGCTGTTGAAGACCAAATCCTGCAGCAGCTAAACATTCTTGCTTTGGACCAATCCCCATTGTCATCTGCCCAAACCCAAGAAACCTGCTCAATGCCGCTCTGTGATGACCCACCTGAGATTCGGCTAGCAGGTGGTTCACATGCTTTGTGTTGTGAGGATTATGAAGGGATAGCCCATGCAAGTTTCGTTTTCATACATATTATGACAGTGTAAGGACCTGACCAAACACGGACTAAGACACACAGCTGATTTCTGAGTTTTGATCATGGAATGAATGCCTTGCTGAGTTTCCCGCTTGTTACTGAGTTCCCTAAGTCTGTGTGTGTGCATGCTCGCTAGTCTGCATGTCTGTCTGAGTGTTTGTCGGCTTGAGTGTGTGTGTGATCCGCAAGGGCAGTTGCTCGTTCAGTGGGCCGAAGGGCCGGTACTTACCTGTGGCCGTGACATTGAGGATTGCAGCGGGGGGAAACACTCAAGTAGCGGGGAAAGAGGCCCGCGACACTTGAAGCAGCAGAAAACACTCAAGTAAAAGATAGGTCGGTACCACACCAGGTAGAGGTAGATGTGCCGGGTACTCGAGGCCAGGCAGAAGAAGACAAAAGTTGGCATTTTTAGAGGCCCAGTAGTTGTAGGCTAGGTCTAGGCGGGTACCAGTCCAACCAGTCTGAGGCTAGGCCCTCTAGGGCCTGTACGGGCAGTATCAGAGTCTGCAATGATGTTTCCCTCCGAAAGGGAGGAGGTATCGGTTGCTTGGAGGCTGCGCGGCCTAGGAAGTCACTCGCCAAGAGGCAAGCAGGCCGCTATATCTCCAGGAGGAGCCAGTTGCTCCTTCTCATTGTCGGTGTGCAAGTTTGGCGACACTGGTTGGAGCGCTGGCTGCAGCAGCGCTAGCACTCAGCTGCGCTGCTGGGGAAGGAGCAAGGACACGGAGGAGGAAGAAGACCAGGACTAGGAAGGGGAGTGCCAGAGGAACCTACCTGGCTATGGTGGTTGCCATCTTCATCACCTTGGTGCGCGCTGCAGCTGGAAGGCCCAGTTGGGGCAGAGCTACACCAA